TGGGATACCACCAGCCAAAAGGCCACCAAAGGTGTCACAGAAGATTTCTTCACGTGGTGGGTTCTCAGGGAATCGAGGAGGACGAGGAGCTTTTCACAGTCAAAACAGGTTCTTTACACCACCTGCTTCTAAAGGTATGTTGGTTCCATGTTGGAACTGGAATAAATGCATGCAAAAAATGCTTCAGTAACACTAACCTAATTTCTGAGCAGTGAATTGTCCCTGGTGTGAGATGTTCCTGAAGCAGTATTGTTGAAGTAAGTTGTTTGGCACTGGAAAAGGTTCTCTCGAGTTCTGTGGAATTGAGACAAGGCTGTGAATTCCTATGATGCTTCTCTCTCCCTCTCTTACAAAAGGAGTCAGCTGTTTTAGCAACTGTTGGAGTACTTCTCTGCATTTTTTGACATGGTAGTTCCTGAAATCAAGCACCACAGTACATCTCTGGGTTTAAATGAGGCTTTGGAATAAAAGAAGTTCCCGACAAGAATAAGATGCAGTTTTCAGTGAACCTGCAGATACTAGCTTCAGTATTTAAGTTTCTTTCATATATAGAAAAGGTTGCATCCCTTTCTCTTCTATAATTAGGGCAAGTTCTTGCAAAATAAAAGCAGAAAATACTCCCATTTATAAAGTTATAAATAGTAGGATTTACTTTACCCCAAAACATGAAAGCATAGAAGTCTGTCTTAATACACTGGATAATGTCTTTTAAGCTTGAGTTCTTGCCTGATAAATAGATATTTCTCACCCATCTGTGTAGAATACAGTAACTTGTAGACTTTGACTTAGAATACTGAGGGTATGTTAATGCAGAATATCTTTATCTATCTGAATTATGTAAATATTATCTTGCCACCTTGAGTATTGTGAAGATTGAAATGGAAAAAATCCCAACCAGTGACGTTTGCTGAACCATGTGTGGGTTTTTCTCTCCTATCTAGGAAATTACAGTCGTCGTGAAGGCACTCGAGGATCAAGTTGGAGTGCACAGAGTACGCCCAGGGGAACCTACAATGACAGTAGAGGTGGTCAAAGCAATTTTAACAGGGGTCCACTGCCACCACTGAGACCATTAAGTTCAGCAGGTACATGGTATTCATATGGGCATCGAACTATAGAGAATTCCTTGAATTTCATTTTTGCTTTACAAATGAAACCATGCAAGGATGCTGCAGACACCTTGAAATTCAGCAAATGTTTTAAGCATATATGAACGGTTGTCACTGAGACTGTGTCAGATACGTGCTTTCGTACGACCCGCCCTGTAACCCGTAAAACTTGCTGAATTGAACACTTGATCGCAGAACCTAATTGTGCGTTCAGATTTTTGCCATTCGGTTCTCTTCGTACCCACATGGCAATTGTAGCGCAACTCAAGCAGAAATGCTTGCCTAAGAGAAAAGTGAAAGTTAAGAGGAGGAAACAGACGCTGTTTGTATCTCATCTCGTTTTTGTTCCTTACGCTTTCGCAGCAGCTTCTCCGCCTAGGGCTCTTCTTTTTTTTTTTTTTTTTTTTCCAACTGAGTATACTTTTCTTTGCTTTAAGGCTACCGACCGAGTCCTCGCGATCGTGCTTCCAGAGGCCGCGGAGGAATCGGACCGTCTTGGACAAGTGCTAATAGTAGTAGCAGTGGTGGCTCGAGAGGAAAGTTTGTTAGTGGAGGCAGTGGAAGAGGTCGTCATGTACGTTCCTTCACACGATAAAATGAGACCTAATGGTGGAACAGCCCAACCTTGTGGACTTCTGTGAAGACGACAAAGAAAGCAGCGTCACTAAAGGACCAATTCAGAGTTTCTGGTATCTGGAGGACACCAAGAGAATATTTTTGTCTGAAGAAAAAGCTTTTGTTTGATACAAGACTTGAAATTTCAATAAAATTCGAGACTTTTTGTGTACAATTGTAAATTTTTTTTGTTGCCTTTGGAAGAATGTTTCGATTTTTTTGTGGATTTCAGTAGACAATACTCAGTAAAGCAACTCTTTGAGTTGAGACTTGAAGGACTTCTAAAATACTCACTGTGCCAAAAGAAAGGTACAGGTGTTTTGTGTGTGACTTATTACTGCAAGAAAATTAAAAAAAATATATGTGTAAGGCAATTTTAGTTTTCTTTCTCTCAGGTTTAGAGCCATTAGCCCTTTCTCTTCCTTTGTTTTGTTTTGTTTAGCCAGCCTGAGTTATTAATGAATGAGGCCCATCTGATAGCAGGTGAAGTAGCAGATGATAGAAGATTGACTGAAATTAAATCTGTGAAAGAACACAAACGTAAATGTAATTTATGTAGGTTTAGTTGTACATCTTGGGTAATGTGATTAGAAACTTAAGATCCCACACCAGCTAAAATGAGATTAAAATCTGTCACTGACTTCAGGGTGAATAAGACAACATTCCAGCACTTACTTTACAACTCCAGCTCATGCATTAGGAGCACAAGTGTTATTTCACTGGAAAGCAGAATATGCTTTGCAGTTAAAAAGCAAGATACCTGTACCCTTAAAGGCCTGGAGTTAATTTGTTACCTGCCTCTCCTCTGACTAACACAGTTGAGGAGACTGCAGAGACAGGTGTATACACTTAGCAACCACACAGTGCGGCAGCGATGCTAAACCTTCCCCTTGAAGAGGTGGTTTGGACTGTTCTTTCTGCAGTTAGACTGAGAAAAACTTTGAAGAGTAGAAATTCATAAAGAACTGTCACCACTAGATTCAGTTCTGAATTTATTTTCATATTGAATTCAGTGACTGAAATAAGGTTTACTGTTTGCATTCCTCTGGGCTCCATGGGTTTCACAGAATTAACGGATTCTCAGTAGCCATTTATTGCGGTTTTGGATGGGGTGAGGGGTGGTGGCCTTCTCTAAAGGCAGTCTTTGCAAACAAGCTCCACTGTTAGACTTAGCGAGCTCCATTTTTCCCTTGCGCTTTGGTCTCTTGACGTTGCAGAAGTGCTGTAAGGGGGTCTTGGTCTACTTAAATAAGGCCCAGTTGGAATGTTCGTGTTTTACATAATTTTGACTTAATTTGGACAGCTTGTCTGCCTAGACTCATAAAATTTAACAGCCTATTTTAAGTGTTTCTAAAGTATGGTAATATGCTAAATTGATTTTTTTTTATTATTTTTTAAGCTTTATACTGCGTGGATAAATTAAGTAGGTTTTTATTTGAACAGAAGACCCCTGTTATCTGTACTTCCTCTGTGTGGAGACTCTAAAATAGTGTCCCATTGCCTGTGAGATGATTGACATAAACTATGAAAGTGGGAAGTTTCCCTGAGTTGACTGGGTGCACCTGAAGGGAACAGTAAGAGTTCTTAAAGGGTTTAATATTATTTAAAATAACATGAAAAGATTTGGATTGAAAGCCAAACAATTTTCTGAATGGTAAAATAATAGATGTAATTTTACTGATAATTGTAATGACTCAAATGGGTGGAGCTCTCACAGGCATTACTGTTATTAATGCTATTTTTTTAAGGAGCACTGCATAAATATTTTTAAAGCTGACTCACTCCTTTAGATCATGTGTTTAAGGTTGTTTTATTTTTTTAGAAATTTTACTGTTTTGGAAACTAGCAGGGATATGAATCATTTGGTTTCTGTCAGGGAATTTGAACTGAAAAGTAAAGTGTCAAGCATGGAAAAATATGTAAATATTCAGTACTGGTTCTTCAAAGTTTAAAATATATGGCATGTCATTAGTAATTTTCAAACTAGGAGGAAATAAAGGGTTGGTTAAATTGATGTATGGAAGCTCTGTAAATTCAGTTAAAAAAGAAGTATATGTGTATCATGTTTCTGTTGGCTTTTTTTGTTTTGTTTTTGTGTGGGTTTTGTCGTCATTTTGGTTTTTGGTGGGTTTGTTGTGGTTTTGTTTGTTTGTGTTGGTTTTTGTTTTTTGTTTTTTGGTTTTTTTTTTAAATAATTTAGTTGTGTGACCCTTCAGTGCAGCGTGGTTCCTTTCATGGATAAATCCAACATGAAATAATGCTGTTTAAAACTGAGGTGTTCTTTGGTTGGCTCTTTGAAATGGGATTGCTGCCATGAGTTAGTAACACTTTAAAGTCTTAAGTTTTGCTTTTGGTACTCCACCTAACAAAGAAATTTTCAAGTTTTGTTTGCTGCTTGGAGCACCAGAGCACTGCAGGGCCTAATGCCATTTCAGTTTAGACACTCCTGTGCTTTTTGACGAGCAGAACAGGGGGAGGAGGGCGAGTGCAGCAGAGGAGATCTACAGAGCAACGTGGACAGACAAAGGCAGCTTGTGTATGGGATAAGTTGTGTGCATTTTTTTGTTTGTTTTTGCTTCCAAAAGGTCTGTATTGTGGCTGAGGGCCAGGTGGAGAGGTGTAAGGAGGTAACAGGTTATCTGCAGACTACTGTGCTGGCCTGTAGTTATGCCATGTGGGCTTTCGACCTTTTTTCCCTGCTGAGTAACTCCTCCCATCGGGTAAGGGAACATGTCCAGACAGTGAAGGCAGAGGACTGCGGCAGCAAATTCCTGCTCAAGTGCCCCATGTGCAGATTGCTCATGTTTAAGCAAATCCAACAACTCTTGTTTTGCTCTTCTTACGTGTTCATATCCCACCTGGGTTCTTGTAGTGGCTATGGAAACCTGCATTAGGGATGAGATCCTTGCAGTTGAGGGGCAGTGAATTAATTTTTCCCTTCTAGCCAGTTTATTGTCCTGTTGTCAGTGCAGGACTGTAGTTCCATACTCTTGCAGTCAGGAGTTCTCAACTTTTCCTAGCTCTTTGTCTTTTTATACCATTCAGCAACTCCAATGTGTGAGGCAGGAGGGAAATCCTGGAGTGGGATTAGTGTTTGACTGAGCACCTGCTTTGTTTATTGCTCACTTGACAAGGCAAAATGCAACCTCACCGACTCCGGGGCACTGACTCAACGTCATGTTTATTCCTGATTTCTGGTACCTAAATGTTGCTATTTCATCTATAAAGAGATACTGGAACTTGTGTAACAAAAAGAAGTGACCCACAGTGCGTTAATTATGGTGTAGAACCTTTATTAGTCTCAACTTTTATACAAAGTGTACTTCAAAGTGATACAAAGTGTTACTGTTTCTTTTACAGACTAGATAAGAGATTAAGATCTGTTAAGTGCTGGTTTATCCTTCTTGTGCATATAAAGGTAGAAAATGTAAATAGATTGGCAGTGACCTATAATGCTGGAAGACAGTTCAGTATTTACTCAGTTAATAGAAAGTTGCATAGAATTGTAGGTCTTGATAAAGGCATCTATCTGTGGTAAAGTCTCCCTGACCTACCATACTCCATCCGACCAGCAGTACGGGGAAGGCAAGGCTAGTACTGCTCCTTGTAAATACTATCCAGCACTTCTAAGGAAAGTGGCTGTAGAAAAGCACCATGCCAGAAACATCCAAGAGGACAGCACATGGAAAATTTCACTTGCAAGGCTACCCATTTCTATATATTGCAGGAACTGTTTGCCACCTGGGTCTGTGAATACATTAAACTTCATAAAAGCACCTAGAACATTTGAGATGATAAAACCCTTGTATGTGAGTGCTACTAAATGAATTTATCTCATATGAGACTGTTAATCCAGTACTAGAATCATAACTAACTACGACCTGCAACCCTAATTAGGAAGTCCAGCAAAATTCTTCCTTGCCGCTCCTGTACCTGACCCACGCACCATTCTCAGTTCCACAACTTTTGTTGAAACTCATCTAAACCTACTGGAAGCTCTTTCCAAAATTACTGTTCCTGCTCCAAATAAAGCAATCCTAGCAGGAATGGTCCATGCTGGCTAAGTGCACTGACCATTTTCTGCTTTGGGAAAAGTGCAGGAGAACAGGGCATGCAGCTTTAATGCTGAAAGAAACAGTATTTTGTCTTGAATTTGACCTCTCATGTGGAAAAGTCAGTTTAAGAGAAGTAGTTTATCTGTATTTGTAACTGCGCTCTTGGATCTTCCGAATAAATATGTAAATGTTGATTTTTCTTTCAAAGACTAGCTTACCACTTGCTTTAAAATACTCATTTCTTTGAATACATCCTTGGTGGAAAAATTTTTCCACCTGTTTTATATAGGATAAGGAGTTGCTCACCTCCTTAATACCCTGCAGTCTCAACTAATGTACTTAACCCTCGCTCTCTGTGAGTTTTGTTTGTGAATGTCCCAAGCTTGGTCCTATTACATTGCGTACCCACTTAGCTGTGGATAAAGATTTAATCCCCTTTTAATTCTGATGCCACGTTAACTGCAGTGCCACTCGCTGGTGGCTCACAGGGTAGTGGCTGGTGCAGCCTCAGCGCTGCTTCTGGGCTGAGGGAACAGTCACTGCATGCACTTGTTCTCTGCACTTTCCCGGCTCCACAGTCTTTGCTCTCCCTCCTCCAGCTGCAAAGCGCTACGGGAAGTAACTAAAAATACAACAGTTTGCACGGTTACTGGCCCACTTGAGTACCTGTTCCACTTGTGAGGAAATGGAACTGATTAAAGTCTGATTTAGTAGGAGAATAATAACATCAGTAATTCCATGTCAAGCCCTCCTCTAATGCACTTTTAGCAGTGTTTCTCATATAATCCTAAAATATGATCATGACTAGGGAAGTAGCATTTTCAAGTGAATGTCTTTACCTTACATCAAGTCTCGTAAAATATTTGGAGCCTTAGTCTTTACGAAAAGGATTAAACAGACCACCGGAAAGAAAGAAAGAAAAAATCCCTTGCTTCTGCTGAGTGCTATTAAGAGCTATTAATATAGATCTTAATTTTATTAATTAATCTTTAATTTAATTAATTAATCTTCATTAATTAAGAGCTATTAATATTAATTAAGTGCTATTAATACATGAGACTGAAAAAGCTAGAAGTAAATGAAACATTAACATAATGGGCTATTTATTTTCAGTCTAGTCAGTTGTAAGACAGGTCAAATGCTGACCATAATTCAGCAACACCACCCTGTGAGGGCTTCATTAGCAGGGGAAAATCTGAAGTGCAGAACAGTTACCAACCCAAAGGAATAGGATAAAGCTTAAAGTCACCAGAGGGACCTGCTGTTACTGGCTACTGTGTGCCCATTTAAACTATCTCTGAAAGTGCTTTGCCTCTGAAGGAAACCCAACCTGACAGGTCATTCCAGCAGCAGATAGTCCCAAAGTGTCGCCACATCTTCACACTGGAAGTTCAGACTCTCCTGAGCTGGATTGCACAGCAGAAAGTCCTTTCATTACCACTTAAGAGTATGTTTTTTCTCATGCAGTTTCATGTCCATCACTTAGCATTTGGTCTGCTGTCTTTTCCCTATGTAAACATTAAATAAACCCTACTTTCCACACTAGGAGGAATTTAGTCACAAAGAGGTGGGTGAAATTCCTAAAGCAAACAAATGCACAAATACCATTAAGGGGAAAGCACAGAGCTAATAACTTGCTTTCTTCAGTGGTCAGAACAGAAAAGATTGGGTTACTGCCCTCAGAGTCAGGAAAGATGATCCAGCTGATCAGAATCCTATATGATTTGGAAGTAATTTTCTTCTTTCACATTAGGTAAAGTAACAAAGTCACATCACAGAACCACATAGTTACGGTACACAGAAAAGCACTGAATATAATAACATGAAATCTGGTATTGCCAAAAAGCTTCAAAATTAATGTGAATGCTGCAACAGTGTCACACAGAGCACAAGAACTCTCAGCTTGCTTATTTAGAACACAAGAGAATAACAGGATTCTATCTTTCTACCTACAGCTTTAATACACCTAAGTATTAAACGCAATGATGTAAGTGAATTGACCACCAAATGTTTAGTGTCAATAAAGGTCTTCCCAAATTAGAGCTACTGGTTTACTGTTCCAGATTGTTAAATATGGCTTTCTGAGATGTGCTATGTTGAGAGTTGGTGAGACTGCTATAGTGACCTAAATAGTCTCTATGACTGTCATTTAATCTAGAATATAGGGACTTAAAACATGTAAAGATTTTGGACATAACTTTTCCCATGAATGTTTTTGTTTTAGTTTTTTCTTTCTTTTGTCTTTTTTTTTTTTTTTCCTCCCAGAACAAAGCACTTTTACAAAGAGCTATTTATGTCAGTTTTTAAATACACAAGACCTGAACATGTGCATATCTGCCTCAGTGGTACTAAAGAAACAGCAAGTAAGAAGGATTTATAAATGGCCGAAATTTAGACAGCTTTGACTACAAGTCTTCATACTGTGTACTGAAGAAGATTGCTGCCTCTCTCTTTGGTTGTGCTGTTAGCCATCAAAGCTCTGCTCTGAGGGACAGCAGGGCATGTCCACTAATGTAGTTGCTTTCTAAACTATAAAATGAACTTATTCAGGCTGTTGAAACTGCATGCATTTTCCTGAATGTTCAAAACTGATTTAAGACATTCAGTAAACAGGAGGCCAGACTACTCCCCAGTTAGTCCACTGGTGAGCTGCAATGGACAGAATATTGGTTATACCACTGAAAGCAACATGAACAGGCCGTGTGAGAAGTTTGGAGAAGTCTTTGAACCATACAGATTTCTCATGCCATCCTTACAGATAAATGCTTCCTTGATTCAGTATTTGTGTCCCTGTTAAAAAAATTCCACTGCAAACTTAGAATCATAAAGGTTGGAAGAAACCTTTAAGAACATCCAGTCCAATGTCAACCCAGCACTGCCACTGTAACTCCATAAGCACTAAACCACATAACCCAGCACCAGATCCTCTTCAACACCTCCAGGGATGGTGACTCCACCACCTCCCTGGGCAGCCTATTCCAATGCCTGACAACCCTAACAGTGAAAGTTTTTTTTTTCTAATACCTTATCTGAATTTCCCCTTAAATCCATTTCCCCTTGTCCTCTCACTGCAGGCACGGTACAACAGATTGGACCCCACTTAGCTACAATCTTCTCCCAGGGAGTTGTGGAGAGTGATAAGCTACCCCCTGAGCCTCCTTTTCTTAAGACTAAACAGACCCAGCTTCCTCAGAGCTAAGACACGTTCTCTAGACCTTTCACAACTCTTGTTGCCCTTGCTGGACATGTTTGAGCGCCTCAATGTCCTTCCTGTAGTGAAGGCCCCAGAACTGGACGCAGCACTTGAGGTGCATCACCAGTGCCCAGTACAGGGGGACAATCACTGCCCTGGTCCTGCCAGCCACACTACTCCTGATCTAAGCCAGGATGCCACTGGCCCTCTTGGCCACCTGGGCACACTGCTGGCTCATACTGACCAGCATCTCAAAGTCCCTTTCTGCTGAACAGCTCTCGAGCCACTTCTACCCTGGCCTATAGCACTGCCTGGAGTTGTTGTGATCCAAGTGCAGGACCCACCACTTCCCTTTCTGAACCTCATGCAGTTGTCCTTAGCCCATTGACTGAGTCTGTCCAGGTCTCTCTCCAGAGCCTTCCTACCCTTGAGCAGATCAATACCCACCCAGCTTGGTGTCATCTGCAAATTTAGTGAGGGTGCACTCAATCTCCACATCCATACAATTGATAAAGATGTTAAACAGGACCAGCCCCACCACTGAGCCCTGGCAAACACCGCTAACAACCGGCTGCCAACTGGATGTAGCTCCATTCACCACAACTCTCTGGGCCTAGAATCCAGCCAGTTTTTTACCCATCAAAGAGTCCATGCATGCAAGCTGCAAGCAGCCAGTTTCTCTAGGAGGATGCTGCAGGAGATGGCGTCAAATGCTTTACTGAAATCCAGAGAGGCCACATCTACAGCCTTCCTCTCATCTACTAAGTGGGTCACTTTGTCATAGAAGGAGATCATGTTGGTCAAGCAGGACCTGCCTTTTGTAAATCCATGTGTATTAGGTCTGGCTGTGCTGGAGTTCATTTCCCACATAGCAGCCCTCACAGTGCTGTGTTTGCACTGGTAGCTAGAAGGGTGTTGATAACACACCAGTGTTTTGGCTACTGCTGAGCAGTGCTGGCACGGCATCAGTAGTGTAACATTCCTTCCCCAGTTGAGGGCAATATTCTGGGAGGGGACAGAACCAGGCCAGCTGACCCAAACTAACCAAAGGGATATTCCATATGACATGATGTCAGCTCAAATATAAAAGCTAAAGAAAGGAGCAGGAAGGGGGCATTTGTTGTTTCCAGTGTCTGCCTGCTAAGAAACCACTATGTGTTTTGAAGCCCTGCTTCCTGGGGCGTGGCTGGACATTGCTGCTGATGGGAAGTAGAGAATAAACCTTGTTATTTTCTCTTTGCTTTTGTGCATACAAGCTTTTGCCTTTTTTGCTTTAGTAAACTGCCTTATCCCAAACCACACATCATTTTCCATCTTATTCTCTCTCCCCTTTTCCGGCTAGGAAGAGGAGTGATAGAGGGGCTGGGTGGGCACTTGGTGTGCAGCCAAGGTTAACCCACTACAGTTCTTTAGGTGTCTGAACGTGTGGCAAGACAAAAACAGTCATATATATATAGAGCATGATATAGGGACAGCAGCTATTGAGTTGCAAGCTCTTGTGCAGGACACAGTTTGCCAACTGCACTCCTTTTCACTTTATTTTGCTGAGTTTTGGGAACATACTGATATAAACAATGGCTCTGTGCTTTGCCCTTCCACTGACAGCCTTGTTATGCTGGGGGAGCATTTTCTGGGGACAGTGGAGGAATACACCCATCCTGAGGCTGATATGAATGGCTTTATAATGAAGTTTCCCGTGGCCCTTGCTAAATCTTTGTGTAAGCTGTTTAATACTGTTACTATGACTAATTCTGTCAGTATGCTATGGAGTTCATGGAATCTGGTGTTATCCTGGTGTAAGAGAAAACAAACTTTAGGTGATGATATATTGAGATGTGCCCTGAGGCATCCAGTTCCTGAGTGGCAGAGTGTATGGAAGGATTTGGGCAGATTCCTAGGGCAGTTGACACCTCCCATTATTTGGGATTTCACATCTGAACAGGTATTCACAACGAGTGACTGAGTCTGTGCCGGGGTATTTTTACATATGGTGCTCTGTACCAGGGACAAATCAGGGAAACGTCTGGTACCAGTGCTATATTAGCTGCTGATGGATGTTTACCAGCAGCATCAGGTACCAGTGCTGTGAGAACAAATGATGGACATCGGGCGGCAAGAGCCACGGAAGGAGCTCCAGTGAAGAAGTGCACGTGTGTGGCCTGGGATGGGTAGGAAGAAGTCCTACGTGAAGAGAGTAAAGTTTTAAAGAAAAAAGAAGAAAAAGTTGCATTCAAGTCCCAGGTAAGAGGCCGATATAGAGAAAAGTAGTTCACGTGAATTAGAAAGAGATGCAGAAGCCTTGAGCTTACTACTGAGAAGGCATTCAAAAGAAATCATGCGAACAGAGTTAGTTGAGTTATTGAAATGGATGAAGGTAACTGTACCAGGGCTTCCGCTGGCCGGAGTCCTGAATGCAACTGCTTGGCAAAACAATGGAACGACAGTGAGAGAAAGACTGGTGTTCGGAGATATGAAAGCCTCTAGAAATTTAACTACATGGACGCAAGTCCTGAATGCCTTAAAAACGGCTCAAAAGAAGTCAAATCAGTCCATGGAAACAAATTCTAACTCTCCTGCCCCCCTATATTGGGTCTGGCTGAGCTGGAGTTCATTTCCCCACAGGAGCCCTCACAGTGCTGTGCTTTGCATTGGCAGCTAGAAGGGTGTTGATAACACATTGGTGTTTTGGCTACTGCTGAGCACAGCACCAGCACTGTAACATTCCTTCCTTAGTTGAGGGCAAGATCCTGGGAGGGGACCCAAGTAGGTCAGCTGCCCCAGACTGACCAAAGGGACATTCCATAACATATGACGTCAGCTCAGATATAAAAGCTGAGGCAAGGAGCAGGAAGGCAGGCATTCCTTGTCTAATGGCTGCCTGCTGAGAAACCATCATGCATACCAAAGCCCTCCTTCTCGGGAGTGGCCAACCATCGCTGCTCATGGGAAGTGGAGAATAAATTGTGCTATCTTTCGCTTCACTTTATTTTTTTTTTTTTTTGCTTTAAATGAACTGCCTTATCCAAGCCATGGGTTGTTTTTTTCCATCTTACTCCCTCCTCTGTCCCACTGCGAAGGGGAGTGATAGAACACCTGGGTGGGCACCTGGCGTCCAGCCAAGGTCAACCCACCACACCCATCCCCAAATCCTGATAGACACAGGAATCCCCCAGAAATCGGGAATAGAGAGAGGAGTGGGGGGGAGCTGCCGGGAACCTGGGAGGAAAAGAGTATAAGCTGCAGTTCTGTGCTGAGTTTTCGCAGGCGTGCTGGCTACGGAGAGCAGGCACGAGATTCAAACCACGGGACCGTTACATAATGCATGTCTGTTCCCATACAGAGTTGCCAAGACCCACAGCAGAGGGTAATCAAAAAGCAGATGCTGCCGCTATGATTGCCACAGTGCCCAAAACTCTCGAGCAGGTCAAATTATCACACGTTCCCTAAAAAGGCAATTTCAACTCATAATGAATCAAGCTCGAGATATCATCATGTCGTCCCCTGACTGTCAACAAATTGCCCCAATGCCATCTAGAGAAGGGGTTAATCCCCGAGGCATAACAGCCAATGAAATTTGGCAAACAGACATGACCCACATAACCGAGTTTGGTTGGTTAAAGTATGTCCATGTCACGATAGACACACATTCTAAATATATGAATGGTACTGCACACACTGGGGAAAAGGCAAGGGATGTTATAAGACACGGCTTAGTTGCTTTGCAACTTTGGGAACTCCAAAAACCATAAAAACAGACAATGGTCCTGCCTATTGTTCCTCAAAAGTCAAAACATTTCTCACAGATTTGGGAATTTTTCATTTCACAGGCATACCACACTCACCCACGGGACAAGCTATAGTGGAGAGAGCACACCGTACTCTGAAGGAGATGTTGCAAAAACAAAAAAAGGGGGAATCCATCTATAGTCTGCAGGAACACCTGTGGAAAGCAACCTATGTCTTAAATTTCTTAAATTATGATGACAGATTATAGTAGGTATGAATGCCAATATGAATCTCAGGCACTTTCCTCTCCTAAACCACCAGTCATAATAAAAGACTTAGTATCTGGACAGTGGTCAGGACTGGTGGACCTCGTGACATGGGGAAGAGGATATGCCTGTATATCTACAGGTACTAAACTAAAATAGGTTCCTTCTAGATGTTTCAGGCCTAATATTAGTCCTCTTTCAGAGCAAGAGCGATCACTGGAAGTGACCAACGAAGAAACTGCAGATGAAGAAACACACAAATAATGACTATTACTAAACCAAAACTGCATGGCTGAAATGTAGAGGCGTAACAAAAATCTTAGGTATGCATGAGTGGAGAGAGATTGAGGTGGCCACCTGCATGAATGTGAAAGGTTGTGTGGACATACATATGTATGTGAACTCAAAAGCACTTTATACAAATATGCCTTGAATAAACTACACTCACACAACCACACTACCTCAGCTACATTATTTTATCAGAGGACAGCTGAAAACACAATACTTATCCCCTAAAAACTTTTCTTCTTGAAATAAAGTTGAGTTTTCTACCTGGTTACACATAGACCCTCAGAAAAACAAAAGCTGATGTTCTACCTAGTTATACACAAACCCTCCGAGTAATAACGCTGTTGTTTCTACCCAGTTACATACAAATCTTTAGAGAAATAAAGGTTGATGTTTCTATCAAGTTACACCCAAAATCTTAAATGAAGTCCTAAATGAACTTACTTGTTGCAAACCCTGGATTTACAAAGGTAAAAGAGTTCATAAAGTTACTGTGTTAAAATGAGGATTGTTTATGTTAAGAAAGGTTTAAGAACTGCCAGAATTTAACAGCAAAGATGTTGTCTGGAGCCAGAGTAACACCTTAAATGGCGGGAAAATGAGTAAAAAAGAGTGGGAAACTTCAGCCCAAGATAGCAGTTGTCCTTCACTGACAACACAAAATGGTTGCCAAGGTGACCTGGTAGCACCAGACAGTGCCTCTCCCCAAGGACACTTACAGGACGATGCACTTCCGTGGCAGAATAACTAACTTCTGTGGCGGGAAAAAGTACTAACTGGCAAAATGGCATCGTAGCAACCTCCACTTCCACGGATAGGGACCTCCTTCAAAATGGCGCTGCCCATGAGGCTTCCGGTAGCCCGGGTGTAAACATCCGGCCGGAGGGCAGCACCCAAGGTTAAGGCACTTCCGGTTTGCTTGTTTAAAACATCTGGAAAAATGGCAGCGCTCATGCCCTGCCACCGGCAAACCCAGAAGATGACAACACTGAATATACACAGCACCCTATACAAATAACAGTTAATGATACTGGTAAGTGTGCTGTTACTCATAAACAGGCAGAGGAAGGTGGTGATTTAGATTCAATTGACTCAGAACTGATGAAAGCTTTTCCAGTATACCTGGAAGACGGCAAACCTCCCACCTGGCAGCTAGTCTCATATCCTATACTAAAGGACACCAAAAAGGCAATTATGGAATATGGTTTCTTCTTTTCTATAGGCTTGATTGAATCATTATTGAATCATTATTGGGTCCACTAAATACAAAATGAAAGCCTTAGCTAATGCCATCACTGAAGGGAACAAATTTGAACGTAAGTGTTATGAATGTGGAAAACCGGGACATTATAAACAGCATTTTAAACTTAAAAGGAGAATCTGTAGAGAAAAAAAAAGATTGCTCTTTTGCCCGTAAGTCTGCTGCCACTCCACCAAGCCCATGTCTAAGACGTAAAAAAGGATTTCACTGGCAAATGCATTGCAGGTCTAAGTACAATGCAAACCATAAACTATTGCCAGACTCTCCTAAATGGAAAAGAAAACAGGGAAACTGGGAGATGAGCGCTCGGGGGAGCATGAAGATAGAAAATACCCCCAGGAAGCATCAATATCAGGGACTCACAGTCATTCAAGAAGAGGATTGAGCTCCTCAGTTTCAGAGGAGATACAATTAACACCTACTATGATAATCACGCTGTGGGACAATGAATTGTGTAACATAACTACTCCTTCAGCAAACATTTTGCCTAATGATGCTTACCTTTTGTCCAGAAATTCAGATATGGTTGATAAAGGTTTAATAGTCATTCCACAAATTTTAAGCAACATTAATGAGGAATGGATTACAGTGAAGGTCCAGGCTACGCCTCCTCCAAAGAGGATCACTAACACAGAACCTATTGCCAGGCTACAGTCTATTCAGCATCTATGGGAACAACTAGGACTTAAGACTCCTTTAATTATTTGGTCACAATCCATCTTAAATAAGCGCCCAATGTTAATATGTGTTATTTCATTTTCTGAGCAGATGGTGTCTATTAATGGTCTACTGCATACAGGTGCTGATGTAACAATTACAGCTTTGAAGGACTGGTCTAAGAGTTGGACTGTGGTTTCCACCCTGATGGAAGTAGCCAGAGTTGGAGGAGTCCAAATTCCAAAGCAATCATGGGACCTTTCACTGGTAACTGGACCAGAACAACAAACAGCCACAATTAAACCATTTGTCCTAAATATTCTGCTCACACTGTAGGGTCAGGATATACTGGGGTAATAGGGGGTTTCTTTGACATTAGATTTTCAATAAGGGCCAGTGTTGTGCAGGACCTCCCCCACCTGAGCTGAGTTTCAAATTATCCAGTTTGGGTGGATGAATGGCCCCTGAGAGGGGACTGGCTACAGGTAATAACACAATTAGTAGAAGAACAATTTGATAAGGGTCACATTGAAGCATCCACCAGCCCGTGGAACTCCCCTATCTTTTGTATTAAAAGGGCTACTGGCAAATGGAGGCTCCTACAAGACCTCTGTAAGGTCAATGAGGTCATTGAGCCCATTGGAGCCCTCCAGCCAGGAATGCCTTCCCCTACTATGATTCCAAGGGACTGGTCAATTGCTGTCACAGACATAAAAGATTGCTTCTTCTCCATTCTCTTGTACCCTGATGACAGACCCAGGTTTGTGTTTTCTGTCCCTTCCACTTGTTGGGAGCCTGTTTTTTGAGAAAATGTGTTTTAAATTTTGTGTTATATTACTGCACTATGTATTGTATTATTTCCCTTCATTGTACCCCATTTTCCCTTGGTTTCCCTGCACCCTCGAATCCTGTGTTTCTACTGGCCAGTGGTGCTGCATTGCAGTACCAGCCTTATATGGTCATTTCTTCCTTATATAGTTTAGCTCCACCTCTTGTTCCAGAGCCTTCCCTACCCTACCCTACCCTATAAAAGGCAGGAGCCTTGTTGATTGTGCAGTTTAGTTTCTCCTTATGTTCCCCTAAGTTGGCCGATCAGCCCAGGTCTTTTCTGTTACATTAATAAAAAGTTCTTTTAGTTAATTCCCCAAGAAGTGTTGCAGCTTCATTTCTTCGAACCCATGCACTGCAAATGGTGGAGAATGCAGGCAGAGACATGCTGCAAGTGAAGCTTCGTGTGAGAAAGAAAACTGCAGAAACACTCCACAGACAGCAACACACCACAGGTATGGCAGAATGAAAAGCTGCAAATTCAGACAATCATTGCAACCAGCAATCAACAAATCCAAACATCCTTCATCATACTGGAGGTGAGCCATTCTAATGTATTCTAAGAGATTAACAACAAAATGGGAGCCCACTTAAGTAAAAATGAAAGGAACTATATAAGTGCATGAAGGAGTCTATTAAGGAAGAAGGTCATCCCATAGATAAAGACTCTTTAAGATCTCTTGTAATATGGATGAATAAAAGCAAAGAGACCACCCCAACAGACCTGAATTATAAAGAATGGAACAAGTTGTGATGGTTTTGATCTAGGCCTTCCTGGTGACCAGTTTGTAACCAAGGAAGTGGCCAAGTACCCAGTATTCCATAAGATTTTTAAGTAAACCAGGATATTAAAAAGTTAGAGATTAGAGACCTCGCTCTCTTCTCTTCCGGCGAAGTTCGGGAACAGTGGGTCCTTGCGTTAGTCTCGCTTATCTAAGGCTGAGGCCTGCAGCGTCCACTGTCCTGCCACGTGGAGGGTTCGGGGAGTGCTGGCCGTGTCTGCCAATCCTACTTTTCTAAGGGACATGGTGAGATCTGTTTTGCTAGTTATTATTATAATTCTTGAGTTTGATAGCGTATACCTGTTTGGTGTCCCTTTTTGTGGAGGACAAGAAGAGAATTCAAAAGATGTACCTAAAGTGGCGAAAAGTCTATAAAGAATATAATGAGGACTGTGTTTAACGGACTTGGACTTTTACACATGATTTTCACATATATACGGACAAGGCATAATACCCGGATATGACAAGTTGAACAATAGTTTTATTCCTTACTGTTAATGCATGTTAAAGTTTAATGTACCCCAGTTCTATATAATATTTTATTTCAAATATGTTCTCCCCTCACGAATCCTCGGTCCCTGATTGGTTAGAGTTTCCCTTTCCCTGATTGGGTAAGATTTGCCGCAGTATGGGCGGTCTTACCACACCCCCTGTTTATTGTGATAGGTTGAGAGTTAATGTATGCATGTTATCAATTCCTCATTGGTCCTTCCCAGTTGTCAATCCCTAACTCCTCCCAGTTTCCAGACCTTTCCATCCCTGAACCTATAAAAACCCTGCGCACCCCTTGTTCCGCGTCAGCGCACCTGTGTCTCTAGTACCCTTCCTTAATAAACCTGCAACAGAGTACGAACCTTCGTGTGCTGCGTGTCCCTTCCTCCTACCCAGACTGCGGCACCTTTTTGTCCCTTTTGTCCTTTCTTTTTTCCCCTTTCCCTATCCCTTTGGGGGGTGGATTCCCTTTTACTGTGTATACAGCATTTTAACTGTATATAACTGTAATTTACATAAATATATATATTTTTATATAAACAACTTGGCTTTGAGTTCTTTAATTTTTATAGTTTTTTTTCCTTTCTTTGCCCTAAGGGAAGAAGGAAGGGGGAAGGGAGGGCTTCTACTGGAGGTTTGAGCATTTGGCAGGAGGCCAAGGTCCAAACTACCACAGATTTTTGGTGATCCGTACAGGGAGATTGTTTTGGTTATCCTGGTTTGTTTTGGAACAGTTACCAGGAAAACTGCCAAGAGAGGCTTGTTTATATAAATAAACCTATTGTTTAAGAACAAAGAGAAACAATGGCTATTCTAACAATGGCTATTCTAACTACTTGTTTCATTGTATTAGCTATATTTGTGCCTGTCTTGGGCTATCCTGTAGGGAAACGCCCAACTGGGGATGAATGGGAGGAGTATGTTCCTTTCTTTGATTGGGATGAATGGAAGGAGTATTTCACTTTCCTTGATTGGAATGAATGGAAGGAGTATTTCACTTTCTTCGATTTTGACATCAAAGGCCTGCTAAAGAAGATCCCCATCATTACAATTGACTCCAATTTTTACTTAAATTGTTTAGTAACAATCCTAGTACTGGTGAAGGCAATGAAAGAGTTATTTAAAACTGGAAGAATAATGTTGTGTTGCTTTCCATGTTGTAGAAAAGGCCAGACCTCAAGAGGATTTGCTGGAACTTTGGGAAAGGTCTTGGAAAGGACAGTTTCTGGATGGCAAGGAGCATGGGTAAATTTTGGCAAACTGGTATGGCGTGTGAAACCTCCCATTGTTTAGGACTTCACGCCAGAACACGTGTCTAATCCTGACGAGATGGCACGTTGTTTAGTTAAACGGTGTCTTTCATACGATAACCCAAATACGCAGCTCCTTGCTTTATGCTGGGGTCTAACGACAGCTTATAAAGCTGCCATAGATCACTATCAAAAGCCTAGGGCAGAGGCAGAAAGTCAAAATATGTCACCTGAAACAAATGATGCCCCTATTGAATCCACAGACGTCGGGATACAGACTCAACCCGAAATCAACACCATCTCTGTTAAACTGACTGAGTGTGGAACACAAACTCAACCCGAAATCAGCACCGTCTCTGTTAAGCTGACTGAGTGTGGAACACAAACTCAACCCAAAGTCAGTGCCGTCTCTGTTAAGCTGACTGAGTGTGGAACACAAACTCAACCTGAAGTTAGCGCTGTCTCTGTTAATTCAACTGAGCATGGAACACAGACCCAATCTTGTTGGGGCCTTAGCAATTCTGCATGATTATTCTGAGTTCTGAAAAGGTCAAGAGGTAACGGTAAGATAAACAAGAAACGGCTTGCTGCTGCAGGAATGCAGGAGTCAGCAGAAGCAGGATGGGAAAAACAGTGATAACAGAAACGGTATGCAAATGTGGGCTTCAAAACCACAAATTGGTGGGTTACCTAGGGCGCGTGGACAGCGCGTGCTGACCAATCGTGATGGCGTGCTGTGCTCGTGTTCGCGTGGACAGAACTCAGAATAATATAAATTGTACAGCCTAACAATAATAAAACTGGATTCGAACTTGCATCTTGTGGATGTGTGTGTGGTTCTTTCCCGCTCGCTTGCCTGCCTGCAGCATCTGGTGAGCCCTGACGTACGTGCTTGGGGACGATCAAACATCGGACTGCAGAGCCTGCGAGGATCCTGCTTGCCAGCGAAGTTATAGCTGAGCGCCAGAAGAAAGGCAGGTCGTGCACGGACTGACCGGTGAGTCAGGAAGATAAGCAGGATGAGATTAACTGTGTTAGCAGTGGAAAAGGCGGTTGTTGATAGCCTAATGAAATTGACTGATAAGACTGATACTCAGTTGCCGCGTTCGGCGCTGATAGATTTACTATGTTGGTGTCGCCGCCGTGGGTTTTTCTCCTCCACGCAAGATATATATAAGACTGAGACGTGGCAAAAGGTGGGGGAGGACTTGTGGGAATCGGTACAACTTGGAACGAAAGGGGCAAAGACATTAGCAAAACTTACCGTACTCTGCGAATACTGATTGAACGGCTACATGGCGAGACGTAAGTCGTCGCGGCTGTTAAAGCCGCGGTGCGGCCTCCCGATAGCTCTCAAACAAAGGCAGAACGTGCGGCCGAAATGCAGGGTGTCTGGCCCCCTCTTGGAGACCCCCCTAATTATCCTCCGTTGACATGTCCTGTCATGACTAAGGCAGAACAAATAGCATGGGGTTTAGATGACGAATTACCACTGTGGAACCCCAGTAACGAAAAGCAATTGCCTAAAGTACAAATCGAAAGTAAAATACCGGGGCCGCCTCAGATCGCGATCGAACAGCCCCCCCCCCTCCCCCCTCAAGCAGTGTACCCTGAGGATGGACCGAGACGGGAAGGCGAAGCAAGATAGAGGGCTACTGGAAGACATAGGAAGGCAGAGGCGCCCGGAGCACCCCACCCCCCCCCTCACTGCTCCGCTTTACAAAGGACAACTATGGAATTCCGTAAAGCCCGCCCACAACATTCTTTGAACTTTTAAAAATGTTTTAACTTGAACAAAAGGCAAAACTATGTTTGCTTTGCAAGTTATAGTTTCACTACAACAGTCACAGATAGAAGACACGGAGTTAAGCATTGCTACTCTAAGACTGAAAAACAAAAGTTTGTGAAAGTGGTGTCTAAAACCTTTCAAACGCAGAAACTCCCTAGGGCTGTTGCTACTGTGTTAGTTGAAGAGAGCCTGGCTAGCTTGAAGGGAGCACGACTAACCCCAAGGGAGCTCGGATAGCTCAGTCGTAAAAGCAGAGGACTTTGAGTCCGAAGGTCGTATGTTCAAGACCCCCCGTGAAACGAGGGGCCGGCTACGGCCCCGAAGTCTTTTTTTTTTCTCCACGCACACCCTCGGTAAAATTGACTGCTCTCATTTGTTTCTGCACGGTAACTACTTAGACCTGACGAAACTTCTAGGAGCAACGGTTGGTTAAGCCTTTTTGTTAACAGTGCAAACGACTGAAAGAGGCAGATGGACAGAAACTGAAACCTGACTACATTTTAAACATCAGAAATACCAACATCCAGAGAGCACAGAGACAACATCGGCGGAGGAGAGCCAGCACAGAGCAGGACGCCTAGACAGAACGATGCTGGGAGCAGAGCGGGGGCGGGGCTCCTGTTGATGCGGCCACGCAGGGCTGCGGAGCCGGGACACTGCGAGCTCCGAGCCAGAGCGGGGCATGCTGCTGCCTGCGCTGAGGGGAGTCCCGGAGGACACAGACCTGCAGGGCTTAGCACTTGTGGTGTTAAGACAAAGCTGCTGAAACTGCAGCTGATTCAAAAAAAAAAAAAAAAAAAAGGGGGGAAAAAGGGAGCTTTGAAGAGAACTTTCATGTGCATGGTGGTGTTTTTCACTGAGTTTGTCACAGTTGACAGAGAAGTGGAACTTACTGGTGAATAGTTAAAGGTTTAAGAGGTCTATAATTGATTCTGATAACTTGGTTAAAGTGATTTTATAATTGCAGATTATACCTTCTTTTCCCACTTTCTGGCATTAGGTTAAGATACATTTCAGGTGGGAATTTAAAATGTACACAGATGATTCTCTGTCTTTTTTTTCAGTTCACCTGACGTTATTTCTGTTATACTGCATAGCTTTTGGTATTCTAAAGCAAGGCTAACTCACTCATAGAATTAATTATTGTCAAAAAGCATTTTACACACCAAACATATTTTCAAAACAAAAAGAGGGGAGGAGAATATGCACGTACATAAACAGGTCCTGGATCAGAAATGGATCTCATTTAGGTTTGTTAGGCCTTTTGTTTCCTTGTATTGATTCCTTTTCAGGACAGGTGGAATTGCTGAACATGACCACCGGAGATGGCAGACTGAGAAGCACTGAGAAGCCAACAATACTTAGGAATCTGAGATGTGTGGTTGAAATGAAAAATATAATAAAAATCCCAGCTATGTGTGAATGAAGGATGATTGAGGTGGCCACCTTCTGAATGACTGGGAAAAAAGCTGTATGAGTGAAAAAAGCTGCGCAGATATCTGTGTGTGTGAACTTAAATACTTAATGTTATAGATTTAATTATGGTAAGTTGATGCTGCTAGCCTTCGGAGATTGGAAGCAGATATTGAAGATATTGCAAGTTAATGCTGGTTAAAATTGACTAAATGGTCTGTTGGTAAATATCAGGATAGCTTTTACCTATAATCAAGACAAGTTTGCTTGTGTTGTTTTAACCTCTCTGATCATAGTAGGCCAATCCAGGAACAAAGGTGGATAGCGGAACAGAGGTGGAGTACACAACATGAATATGACCGAATCATGGCTCAAAATGACACCAAGATCCTTGATTGGTTCTGTGATGAAAACTTGTGTATCCCTAGGGGGTGGATGGTCCCTCCCCAAAACATGGATCGTGTTTGTTTTGCATTTCATAAATTACGGATTAGCAAACGCAAGGAAAAATGGCAACGTAAACAACAAAACTAAGGCTATCTGGTATTACCACCTAATTCTATCCAGCATCATCCCTGTCACAGCCATCCACAACATTGACCCAAGACAAAATATGTGGGTTACTTGGGCCAATGTGTCTGGGGTTACAGAATTTTGTCTATCCCTCCAAAAAGCCAGTGATCCTTTTCGAACTTGTCTAATTGGTTATCCATACATACATTGGCCAGACTTTAGCCATTTGGGAGTGAACTACACTGCTATTAATAACTCTTATTGGCAGTGGAGAGACGACAACTCACGGGGCGAATGTACAAAATCGTGGAATTGGTCTATTGTAAAAGAAGTACATTTTTTACAACAGTTGATATATCAACTCAACGAGTCGGCACCTTTACCCTTACAAGAATTGGATTTGTGGGGATCATTTCCTCCTGTCATAAGTGTGAGCGATGTTTCTAACCAAACAAATTGTACCAATATATACCCAAAGATTTTGCCGATCAATGGATCCGGAGTCGTCCATTTTGGAGAGTCATGGAAACGTCTCATGCATGCCGACAGCGTAATGCAATATTATTTGAGCTACCAAAATGTAACCGGGCAATCTAGTCATTGGAATACCTCCAAACATGCTGGGGAGTTAAATGTAGAAAACGTGTCTGCTAAAATACTACCTGAGGGTTATTTTCTAATATGTGGTGATAGAGCTTGGCCTGGTATTCCTTTTCGTCCCGCAGGAGGACCATGTTACATTGGAAAGTTAACCATGTTTGCACCTGCCATGCGTGACCTGGTAAGACAGACAAATCACATTCGGACCAAGAGAGATCTCAAAGACTTAACACCTGATTGTGATGACAATGTGAAACTTGGAACAACAGGTGAAGCCGTTGCTTTGTCACTTTTCCTCCCAGGGGGCATGGCGGCAGCAAACTGGAAGAAAATTAAAACTTTGGCATGCTGGGCTGTAAAACAATTTAACTCTACTTCTGAAATCTTAACAGGTTTAGCTAGCGATGTAAATAGCTTGAGACATGCGGTTTTGCAAAATAGAGCAGCGATTGACTTTTTGCTTTTAGCACATGGGCACGGGTGTCAGGATTTTGAGGGAATGTGTTGTATGAATTTATCTGATCATTCACAAAGCATACACAAACAGCTACAAGAACTTAAGGAACGCATGCATCATGTAAAAGAAGGATCTGCGGGATTGGATGCCTGGCTGGCATCATGGGGAATAGGAGGTTGGCTGAAAGATGTACTGAAACAAGGGTTGTCTATACTCATTTTTATTCTGGTTTTATTGCTTGTTGTTCCATGTATCTTTAGGTGTCTTCAAGATTGTATCATTCACAGCTTTGATTCTATGCTTAAGCGAAAGGGGGGAAATGTCGGGGCCTTAGCAATTCTGCATGATTATTCTGAGTTCTGAAAAGGTCAGGAGGTAACGGTAAGATAAACAAGAAACGGCTTGCTGCTGCAGGAATGCAGGAGTCAGCAGAAACAGGATGGGAAAAACAGTGATAACGGAAACGGTATGCAAATGTGGTCTTTAAAACCACAAATCGGTGGGTTACCTAGGGCGCGTGGACAGTGCGTGCTGACCAATCGTGATGGCGTGCTGTGCTCGTGTTCGCGTGGACAGGACTCAGAATAATATAAATTGTACAGCCTAACAATAATAAAACTGGATTTGAACTTGCATCTTGTTGTGGAGAGCTTTGCAAAGCAGTGGCTGCTTGA